GAGAAAGCTGACAGGTTAAATAAACTGCTGTCCAAGTGTCACCTACTAGACACAGAAGCAAGATTTGAACCAGGATCCTGGACTTTTACCCAGTTTGCTAACCTGAATTATGCAATAAAGATAATTTCCAGAATAAATTGGACCTCAGGGTCGTCGCTATCTTGTGTTGTAGGAGCAGAGTGTGATACCTTTTATCACCCCTCATAAGGGTCATAGCTGACACGCCTGTAACAAAATATAGGTTAACAAGAGAAAAGCATAACAAATTTATTTAATCAAAATTTTACATGAAAAGGAGGCAGAGCAAGATGGTTGAAGGAAGCCTCCACTGATCGTCCTCCCTGCAGGAACACCAAATCTGAAAACTATCCACACACAAAAAAGCACCTTCATAAGAACCAAAAATCAGGTGAGCAACCACAGTAAAGTACCCGGTTTTAACTTCGTAGAAGGTAGGAGGGAAAGAGAGACAGTCTTAAATTGCCAGCGCCACCCCACCCCTATCCCCTGGCCGTATGGTGCAGAAAGGGAATCTGTGGGCTTGGGAAAGTAACTTTGCATTGGAATGCTATGCTGCCAACACCAGGCAGAGATCAGCTGGTGCCCACAGAGCACTTACTCCAGCCCTAGCCAGAAGGAGATGCCCATCCCAGCAATTGGAACTTGAGTTTCGGAAAGCCTTGCCACCATGGGCTAAAGTGCTCGGGGGTCCTAAATAAATAAACTTGAAAGGCTGTCTAGGCCACAAGGACTGCAACTTCTAGGCCAGTCCTGATGCCGTGCTGGGCTCAGAGCCAGTGGAATTGGGGTACACACGGCCTAGCGATATATCAGCCAGGGCAGCTAAGGGAGTGCTTGTGCCACCAATCTCCCAACCCCAGACAGTATAGCTCCTAGCTGCAGGAGGGACTCCTTTCTTCCACTAGATGAGAGGAGAGGGAAAAGTAAAGAGGACTTTGTCTTGCAGCCTGGATACCAGCTTAGACCCAGTAGGATAGAGCACTAGGCAATATCTTGAGATCCCCATTCTAGGCCCTAGACCCCAGATAACATTTTCAGACACAGGCTGGGCCACAAAGAAACCCGCTGCCTTGAAGGGAAGGACCCAGTCCTGGCAGTATTCATCACCTGCTACTTTGAAGGCCCTGGGTGAGACTCTGAGACATGATGTGACCTGGCACATTCACACCTGTGGTGACTATGAGGAAAGGCCCCTTATGCTTGAGAAAAGCAGAGGAAAGAATGAAGAGGACTCTGTCTTGCACCAGGGTACCAGCTTGGCCACGGTGGGGTAGAGCACCAAGAAGGCTCTTAGGGTCCTCAGCTCCAGATGTTGGCTCTTGAACAGCATCTGTGGACCTGCCCTGGGCCAGAGGGGAGCCCGCTGCCCTAAGGGTGAGTCCCAGGCCTGACCGCATTCACCATAAGCTGACTGAAGAGGTGTTAAGTGAACATCAGCTATGAGCTGGCAGTACCCACTGTGGGCCTGTGGCGGTAGTGAACAAGGAGAGAGACCCCTCTGCCTGGAGAAAGGGGAGGGAAGAGTTGGAATGACTTTGTCTTGTGGCTTGGGTGCCAACTCAGCTGCAGCAGAACAGAACACCAGGTAGATTCCTAAGGTTTGTGACTCCAGGCCTTGGCTCGAAGACAGCATCTCAGGGCCCAGCAGGGGGAACTTTAAGGGAAGAATACAAGCCTAACTGGCTTCACCACCTGCTGATCTTAGAGCCCTATGTCTTTGAGCAAACATAGGCAGTAACCAGGTAGGAGTTGCAGCAGGGCTTGGGTAACATCCAGTGTTGTGCTGGCTTCAAGTCTGACCCAGTGCAGTCTCAATGGTGGTGGTCACAAGGATGTTTGCGTCACCCCTCCACCAGCTCTAGGCAGCTCAGCAGAGAGACAGAAAGAGAAACTCCGTTTGGGAGAAAGTAAGGGAAGAGAACAAGAGTCTTTGACTGATAATCCAGAGAATTCTTCTAGATCTTATCCAAGATCAGCCAAGGGAAGCACAGTGTCAGTTGGCTTGGGGTGTCCCCTAATGCAGATACAGCTGCAGTGACCAAAAACTTAGATCACAGTACCCAAGTCCCTTCAAATACTTGGAAAGCCTACCCAAAAAAGAATGGGTACAAACAAGCCCAGCTTGTGAAGATGACAATAAATAACCTTACTCTTCAATGGCCAAACACTGACTGACGTCCACAAGCATAAAGACCATCCAGTATCACATTACCTTACCAAATGGACTAAATAAGGCACCGGGGGCCCGTCCTGGAGAGGCAGAGATATGTGACCTTTCAGACAGAGAATTCAAAATAGCTGTGTTGAGGAAACTCAAAATTCAAGAGAACACAGAGAAGGAATTCAGAATCCTTATTTAATGAAGAAATAGAAATAATTTAAAAGAATCAAGCAGAAATTCTGGAGCTGAAAATTGCAATTGTCATATTGAAGAATGCATCAAAATTTTATATGGCATGGGAGTCTTCAGAGATACCCAAAGACTCAAGGGAAGACTGTCCATTTTTATGCTTAGATTTGGTGAAGAGTGGGTAGCCAGGTAGAACTGTGATTGGACAGAAAGGGGATGATCTTACAGTAACAGACTGAAGGGGAAAACCCATCCAGCAAGGGCCCATCCCAATTCTTCTTGATCTCTCTGTGTGGCATTTCTTCCTGCCAGGTATAGGACTGGACCCCTTCTGGAATTGACAGTCTTACAATCTACTTTCAGATAAAGCAGGCCTAAGAATTTCTTTGTAGCCAGCTCTTACACAGAAAGGCAAGGGAATGTTAGGGTAATAGTTCTAGGTTTCACGGCTGGCTTTGGGGAAAAGGGGATCTAGTTTCTATGGCTTGCCTTGATGAAGAGGAATTTTAGTTTCTGTGGTTTGCCTTGCAGGGAGGATGGGGAGCAGAAGAAAGAAGGGCAGGAGAAGGTCTGAGACAGACTTGACTTCTGAGGCCTTCCAGTGCCCTTTGGTTCAAAGTGCTCAGCATGCCAAGGCACCATATTTTGGGATATTGTTTTCTGAGCCCCAGTACTGTGACAGGAGAAAAGTACCAACAAGTACCACTCGTCAACCTTGTCCTCTACCTGCCTGGAAGAAGTTGATTTGCTCAGCATAAGGCAAGGAGAGAGGCAGGATCCTAGAGATATGGAAGGGGGCTTCTGGATTCTGCAGGGGACTTTGGGAACTCTAGGTGGCAAGGCAGAAATATCTAATTGGGATGTTTTATTAGGTAATTTTGCGGGACTCTGAGGAAAAGCTCTCTTCTAACTCCCTTCAAAATTCTCAGTAAAATAACCTCTTTTACTGATACTTGAAATGTGAATTTGGTTTGGGGGATTTAAGTCTGGTCTCAAGATGGCAACCAGGTTAGCTTACTGGGGCCAGCCACATGTGGGTAATAGTTCGGTTAAACAAAGTTCCATACATTCAGGAAGTATTTGCTAATTGCCTACTGTGGTCAAGGCGCTGTTACGGGTACAATTGATGCAAAGATGATTAAGACCTACCAAACAAATTTTCTGTAAATATCAGCTAGATAAAAGGAAAAGCATCTGATAGACCTTTGCTTTGGAAAGAAACTTGAGTCATCATGTTCGCTGATGCTATTATAGAATTGTCCACCACTGTACCCCAGTTGCCTAGCACACCTGGCATTTCTTATTAATTGATAGCAAAGTAACTCCCAGAGCTCAGGTCAAGGAGTCAGGTTATTTACATTTGGCTACAAAAGTATAAATAAAAATATAATAGTTCATGTGGAGACACTGCTTTATCAGGTTATTTACATTTGGCTACAAAAGTATAAATAAAAATGTAATAGTTCATGTGGAGACATTGCTTTTTCAAGTGATATCCATGAGCATAGTATGCTGTGTTTACCAAAATCAATTTCCTTTGCCCTGTGATTTGCTTCAGAAAATGTTGACTAGCCATCTATAGCACCATATTTTCTTTTCCACTGGACTGAGTGACATTTCAATGTCTGTTTCCTTCGCCCTAGGGAAGTAAAGCAGAACAAGTCTGTTTTCTTCCATTCTTTCAAACCTGTAGATGTTCATCAAGCAGCTTGACTTGAAAGAAACACTTTGGCTACCTGAGAGAGACTAGCTCCTCCTCCCTGCCTATTAGAAAAGTCTGGGCTGGCACTGTCAGCTCATACTTTCCAAGACACAACTGTAGGCATCTAATATGTAGCAGGAGGAGGCAGAGAAAGGCTCAGAGGCAAAGAAGTAATCCAAGCAGAAAGCATATTGAAGAGTAGAGGTTTCTTTTTCACAGACGACAGTAGCAGTAGGGGCTGGAAGGAAGGAGGGTAAGTATTGTATGTATGGAGATGGGGGTTGGGAGACAGGATATTCTGTGGGGGGAAAAACTTAGTTGCCTAAACTTTACCTCAAAGTACAGAGTGAAGGAGTTCTTAGGAGGAAATATGTGTAAGTAAGCATTGTGTATGGCATTAGTTACCAGGTGGCAATATGGCTATGTTGTGTGGACCATTTTAGTAGAAATCTGCAATCTACATTCTGAGTAATGATTATTTTGCATTTGTAATATGGGCCTGCTAATGTATGCACTTGCTATGTCTGTGACTTTTATTTCCTTTAATTTGTTTTCCTTTTTAAAGGATGTTTTCTTTGCTATTGAGAAATCTTAGGAAGAGAGAAATTATAGTCTCCCCCTGCTGGATATGACTGGTAGAACCTGAAATTTTAGGTTACTTGGCATAGATTTTTTCTTTTTCCAATTTTTGGATTGTATTAAAATACACATAACATAAAATTTACCATCTTAACCATTTATTAGGTTGATGCAAAGGTAATCACGGTTTTTGTCACTTTTTTAATGGCAAAGTGTACAGTTCAGTGATATGAAATACATAATAAATTTACAGTTCTGTGACATTAAATGCATTGATGATGTTGTGCATTATGTAGCTACATAAGGACTAATTGTCCTCAACTTTCCAATTCTAAATTCTTCCTACAGCCTCACTAAGCAGTCTTTTGATCACACCTTTCCCATCTCCAAGCTCCTCTACATCTTCTTCCAGCAGTTACCAGCGCCGCTGGCTTCGAAGTCAGACAACAAGTTTGGAAAATGGCATCTTTCCAAGGAGGTGAGTTGCAAGTTTCCTCTTGCCGAGAAAAGTACGAGTCTAGGCAGCTTGATGAAACTGGCAGAGCAACTGTTCGCGCCTATTGTCGGAGGAAAAAGAACCAAACTTTTTTATTAGCTTCAGCTTAGTCTGCAAGTTTACAAATTAGAAGTTCGAAGGAAAGAATAAATAAAAGCTAAAATTTAAAAATCTCCTCCTTTGGAAGACACTGGAAAGTATCTGGGTAGTTGTTTCATGAGCTAGACTGGGTGTTCATTTAAAATGGTGTGCTCTCTTTAAATAGGGTCCCTTTCAGATGTAGCTTTTATAAGTAATGAGGGAGATGAGTCTCTTTTTGGCCACAGTGATACCAATGTAGTATTCAAAAATATATGAAGTCAAGAGTCTGTGATATATTCTCTTTGTGAAATGTAAATTCTTAAACTAAACAGATATGAATATGATTATAAATAGAGATGGCATCTAGGTATTTTCTGCTTTCACTTCAGTTGGTTTTTGGATCTAAAGTTCAGTTGTGTGCAAAAATGTACGTTTGATGTTACATTCATAGCTTCCAACACTTTTTCTTCCTACAGTCCAAATACTTGAAGGGAAATTTTTTTGTGTACCTATAAAAATTCACGCCAATTAACTGATTTAGTAAATTGACTATTCCTCACCATATGCAGGGATCTGTGAAGATATAAGACATTTCAGCTTTGTGCCTGTACTTAAATAGTTTATGAGATGGTACACACATAAATAATGGTATAAAGATGTTACGTGATAAATATCATAGGCAGATATAAAGTGCTGTGAGACTCAGGATGGAGAAAACACAGCGATGGTCATGGGGGGAATTAGGGAGCCCTTCCTGGAAGAGATGGCACTGAAGGGACAAGCCGAGGAACTGAGGGGTCGGGGGTGTGAGTAGCACACATCAGGTTGCTTGCCTCACTTCTGTCTCTTTCACAATCCTACAAGCTAGCTGGAAAGAAAAAAATTATAGCTTCATCACCCATCAAGAAACTGCCTTTTGGTTGGTGGACTTTGGATTAAATGATTAAAAGCTTGGAATTTTGTGTGAACACAAGTCCTAGCTCTGTCACTCACAGATGTATGATAGAATAAGTTAACCTGGGTTCTAGGTGTTGCATCCTCGTCTGCAATATAGTAATACTAGCACAGCCTCAGAATGTTGCTGGGAGGGTTAAATGAGATAAAGCAGGTCCAGTGTTTAGCCAAGACATAGGATATGGGCAATAAAATATGGCCAGTGTGAATTATTTACTATTATTATTACTATATTATCATTATCATTACTGCAACTGTCAGGAGAAGGTGCTACCACCGTCCTCACTGGCATCATACCAGCTTCTGTGATTGGAGGAGAGAAGTCTTGGAAACCATCCTTTTTCAGCATCTTCTCTTTTCTGAAAATGCTTTTTTATCCCTTCAGGTTTAAATTCAAACTTGAAATCATGTTTCTCAACTCCTTCGAAATTCTTCAAAACTAATTTGAATTGAGATCTGGCATTGGGAGCTAGTGAATCTCTAGTGAACTTACACCTAAAATAAGTATCCTACATTCAGAAAAGTTGTGAATACAGTCAGGGCTGGCTACCCAATTTATGGAACCAGTGCAAAATAAAAAGGTGGTGCTTCTTACTCAAAAAACAAGAAAAGTGTTATTAAAGGGACTAAAAAGGAAAAAAGTTTTTCTTTAAGAATATATATCAGATGTAATAGAGATGATAGTGATAGATGAATAATAATATAAATCTAAAATTTCAAACATAATATTTTTGGGGTCACAATTTTATATTATAATATGTGATATCTTGTGTCATAAAACTTTTCTGCAAATACATTTGTTTGGTCATCAAAGTTTATAGTTTTAGCAACTTGGCTTTCAATTGATATAATTGAAAGTGATAGTCCTGGCAAATGCAAGGCGGCAAATAATTTTTGATAATTTTTTACTTGAAGAAGGATCTTTCTGCTGATGCAGTGTTACATAGCTTTATGGACGATGACAACATTTGGATAAATTTTTTATTAACTTTCAAGATGTAAATTTTAGTACATCTGGATCAGATGATTCTTGTTAAACAGTTTTTTGAAAGATTTAATTCTTCACACAAATCTATTTTGAGTAAGTCTGAATTTAACTTTAGATGTAAATTTATACAAGGTTATTTTAATATTTCTTCTGACATTTCCTGTAACTTGTGGAGATCTTACAAGAAACTAAAAATGTTCTCATGAGTTATATATAATTCAAAATGCCTATTTATGCATTCTATCACTGTGTCCTCAATTACAAGGAAAAATTAATTTTAAAATGGCCTTCCTCTTTAATAATTTGTTCATCTGAAGCTTCATATGAAAACAGTGTGAGTTTTTTTGTCCAGTATAACAATCTTTACATTCAATTTCTATTTCTATGCCTATGAATATTTACTTTGCATTGTTACAGCAGTTTTCAAAAAGTCTAAACTGTTTACAGAATTATAATAATTCCCTGATATTGTTTATTGCAATGTCCCCATTTAGGCTTTTACTTTGTGGTAATTTACTGTCCCGGGGCTCAGGTCAGAGAGTTAAATATCTGTGCAGACTGTATAGGGACTGGCTGCAGTGACTCATGGGCAAGCTGGCCTCCCAGCGTGGTTCCTGGAGCTACCAGAATCCTTCCTCTCCCCTCTCCCCCATCTCCCACAGCTATGGCTACTGCAGCTTCTGCTGTCACCACAGTCACAGCCGTCAGTGTGGGTCCAAGACCCAGCCATTCCACTTTAGAGTCTTGTAACACCGTGGCCTGCCTCAGACTTGTGGGTATGTGCCTAGTGCTGGGCCAGTTTCTCCCTGTCTGGGCTGCAAGCCCTTGGTTCTCAGATCACCCATATACAAACTACTGCCCAATGTCTTCACTACTTATGTGCATGTATAGGGGTGGAAAGGGTACGATAATGCCCCCTCCATATCATAAGGGTCATGGCTGACACTCCTATAACAAATACAGGTTAACAAGAAACATAACAATTTTATTTAGTCAAAGTTTCACATGACATGGAGCCTTCAGAAATGAAGATTGAGGAACCCAAAGAAAACTATATTTTTATGCTTACATTCAACAAAGAACAGATTGCCATGTAGAAATGTGATTGGACAAGGAGTATGATCTAATGATAATAAACTTAAGCAGGAAAACCCAGCGGGGCCTGTCTTGACAGAATCATTTTTGACCTCTCTGTATAGCATTCCTTCCTCCCAGGTAGAGGGTAAGACCCCTCCGGAATGGGAGGGTCTTATGATCTATTTTCAGAGAAGGTAGTTCAGAGAAATTATTTGTGGCCGGCAATTACAAAGGTGGGAGGAAATTAGAATAGTATTTCTACAGTAGGTTTTACAGTTGGCTTTGGGGAAAAAAGAGGCTCAGGTTTTTGTGACTTACCTTGGGGAACAGGAATCTTAGTTTCTATGCCTTTGAGGAGGAAGGGGAGCAGAAGGAAGGGCAGGAGAAAGTCAGAAAATCAAGGTCTTGCTTCTGAGCCCCTGTCCCTCAGTTCAAAATACTCAGCATACCAAAGTGCCATACTTTGGGGTACTTTTCTGAGCTTCATTGTCTCATTAGACTTCATTTATAGCACAAAAGTTCAAAGATAAAATTATTTAAAATTCAAGATGGTAATCACAGAACATGAAATTAAGTCTGGGGCGCTAGTGAGGGCAGGACCCTGTGTGAGCGGGGTCACATGCCCACGCAGCCAGCCCTAATAGAGTACTGCTGAACACCAAGAACGCACAGGTAGCAGACATTTTAAACTGATGACTGTGCCTGTGAAGTCCCTTCATTTAAAGGATGTTGTAGTTGATCTCTCCCTTTTGGCAGGTATGCAGGTGGGAAAATTAGTTTTTTATGCTATAGGCAGGAGAACAGGGGGTACCAAACATTATGATTGCCTCTCTTTGGCAGACAATTCATGGCAATTAAAAATGTTCTTCCTAAGAGAGTTAAAGGTAGCAGGGATGATAGTCACAGTTTTCTTTTTTTGTTAGAATTGGGCAACACTTTATTCCGTAAACTAGAGTGAATGTTTTCAATATTCACAAATCTTAACAGCTGGCTTCACACTGACTTCAGGGCCCCCTGCTGTGCCAGGTGGTAAGCTTTGATTACTAGATGGGGAATGGGGCTCAGGCATTTAACAGCTAACCTCAGGGATTCCATCACTTACTGAGGAAATTGAAACCTTGAAGAGCAAAGTATAATGTCCCAGGAAGCCTTTTGATTTGAATTATTAAACTGGACCAACCTTATAAAGTTGCTGATGGGTTGTTCTTTGACCTACAATTTCATATGGCCCAATGTAATACATAGATTCAGCATAAGTTCAAAGCTGAAACAAATAATAATTAGACCAAGGAATCCTGATATCAATGATAGATTATTGAGATGTACTTAAATAGTCATTTGTGCTTTAATTATTTCTGATCTTGAAGCACTTACAAGGTACATAAATGCTTATTCATAAGTGTTAACAAACTTCTATTTGATTTCTTTATAAGGAAAAAAATTGTCTGTAGCTGCAGCCTTTCCTTGACTCTCAGGACTGTTAGCTGATCAGACTGCTTCCAGCCCCTTCCCTCAGTGCTCTGTCCGGTATGATGCATTGGCTAGCATGAGCACCAGCAGACAGATTAGGCATAGGGTCAGAGTCCTTGGTCGTTGCCAGTATCCAAGTAATGAGCCTAAACTAGAAGATAGGAATCCTGGGTTCTAACTCCAACATTGTCACTAAGAACCTTTCTGTTCCCGAAAAAAGTTGAGTCAGCACTCTGCCTCAGTTTTCACATTTGCAGAACAGCCTGTGTACCTTCTCTGGTGACATGGAGATAAAGATATGATGAAGTACTGGGGCACATACTTAAATTTTTGGAAATATTCTTAAACATCCTTTTTTTGTAGAATAATTTTTAAATTATAAGTAAGATATTACATGACCTGATTTATTCCAGGTTGCATGGTTGATCCAAGACTGCAGAATGAAACTCAGTTGATTTAGAATTCAGTGGAGGGTTATAGTGAAGCAAGTAAATTATCCACTCTATTATAGCTATGGAAGTTTTTCAGAAATTCAGCAGGTGGCACTCTCTGCTACATTAACACTGACGAGAGCATTGGCTATTGTTTATAGGGTGGAGATGATGATTGTGAGAAACTGTATCGGGTTCAGTGTTTATTACAATTTGATTATTAAAGATCAAGCTGGCCTAAAGATGAGTGGACTGATAGAGTCATTTTCCTTTGGGAAAAGAAGGGAAATATAAGATGACAGAAAAGAGGAAAGGTTTGCAAGCAAGCCTTACTGTAATATAAACTCAGGAGAACTCCCAAACAGAACAGAAATCAATTACTGTAGTGCAAGGAAACAAGGCTTTAGTATCAGTACTTTGGTTAAAAAAAAAAAAAGAGAGAGAGAAGACCATATGAAACTGTGTGAAGTTATTAGGAAGCCTCAGGAATCTTCTCTGATGATTAGAATCTAGGGATTTCCCAGAGAAAGCAGGTGATGGTTTATTATAATGTGTAGCAGTTATAACAGCACCTCGTGCCTTCAGCGACACATCTGGAGTGAAAACCTTTTACTGATTTACCAACCATACCTATATCTCCAGGCTCTCGCTTGAAGTGAAGGGAACTAGTCACATATAACTGAGGTTAGAATAAGATGTCTGTCTCCTTTCCTTTAAAAATAAAACAGCCAGGCACAGTGGCTCGTGTCTGTGATCCCAGCACTTTGGGACGCTGAAGCGGAAGAATCTCCCTGTGTTGCTGCCAGCTTGAGCAACACAGGGAGACTCCATCTCTACCAAAAAAAAAAGTAACCAGGCATGGTGGTGTGTGCCTGTGTCCCCCCAAAATTAATTATATTAATTAAATAGCTTTCCTGAGCATAACACTTTTGGTGTATGTTTGTTTAATAATAAAATCTGGATTTATTTGAAATCACATGAGCATTAAAGACTATGAGTAAAGACCTAACTAAGTTGAAGACCAGGGGCAGAAGGCTAGTTCTCATATTCTGCCCAGGATGAGTAATTGTTATGTTGTAATTTGTAATAAAGAAAATAGAGGAAGCAGTACCTTCCCATATTGGCAGAGATGCAGTACCTTCCCGTATTGGCAGAGATAGGAGACTAGATGATGGAGTTCGTGAGAAAGAGAAAATGGATTGCATACCTACTATGTGCTAATCTAGGGCTTTCATTTGCACTGTTATGTCCTTTGTGTTGGTGTTTTTGTAGGGGAAAAAAAAGCTTTTTTATTTGTATTCTTGCTGTTAGTAGTTATGTGGTAGCTACACTGGCTTTTCACAATAGTTAAGTAAGCAACATGGTTAGGCCATTTTTGTAAGGCTTACTCCTTCAGACAAATTAAATATATATTTAGAAGTTTTGGGCTTCATGTCTGTCATCATAGAAGCCAACTCTCCCAAAAGAATCAGATTTTTTTTTAAATTCTGCTGTAGCAGAAGAGAGGTAAGTCTTCTGCTTGGAGGATTTTCAGAGAGCTTAATCACATGGCTTAATCTGAGCACTTAGAAGAGTCACTTCCATCTAGTGTTTTAAACACCCCGGGGGAAAAAAAAAAAAAAAAAAAAAACAAACAATAGCCCTGGGAAAGTAATCCTGGAAGTGCCAGTAAATGTTCAAATGTGATACTCTTGTTCAGCAGAATACCACAAAGGATCATTCCTCTTTGGTCATCTTATCCATTGGTATCTATCAGCCAAAGCAGAGGGGCTATGTTTTGGGTAAACAGATACTTCACACTCCTTCCTAAATACCATCAGTTTGACATAAAATTATCCAAAGGAAAAGGACAAGAGTTACAAAGGGAAATTTAAATTACCTGTAGTTTTCATTCGAGTTTCTCCCCATGTTAGGATAAAACTGTGTGGCAAGCAAGCTGACGTTCTCATCTTCATGCTGGGGAATTACAGAAGAGAATGAAGTAAAGGCAGATATACTCTTAGTTACAACTGAATGTTCTGGGTGTCATCCCAGGCATTACAGTTGATCTTCAGTGTGACTCATTGATGCATGGCAACTTTGCAAACTTCTCTTTCCTTCCAGGTCAACTGATGAGACATTCAGCTTGGCTGAAGAAACCTGTAGTTCTAATCCAGCTATGGTTAGGAGGAAGAAAATTGCTATAAGTATCATCTTTTCCCTATGTGAGAAAGAAGAAGCACAAGGGAATTTCCAGGACTTCTTTTTTTCTCATTTTCCCCTGTTTGAATCTCACATGAACAGGCTGAAGAGTGCAATTGAAAAGGTAATAAGGATGTAATCCAAAGTCAAATAGAGAAGTGATTGTGGGGCTTTGAAGATGGCAGAATTTCTTTGCTTATGTATCAGATCTTTCCTAAGAGAGTTAAGTTACCCATAGCAGTGATAAATTCTTAAGCATGTTAATGCTAGTTACCAGATACTGGGTTGCCTTAGGGAAGGAAATGACTGCTTTGCATTATTATCTTGAGTGTTTTTAATTGATTGCATAATATTGTTTTATTAATAAAGCCCAGTAGATAAGTTATAAAATTTCTTCTCAGTAATTTGGCTTGCTTTCTCTTCAATAAAGGCTATGATCTCCTGTAGGAAAATAGCAGAATCAAGCCTCCGAGTCCAGTTTTACGTCAGCCGATTGATGGAAGCTCTGGGAGAATTCAGGTAAAGTGACAAAGTTTGGCAAATCCAGCAGGAGGTATCTGTGAGCAGCCATGGGTAAAGAGAAACTGTGACTTGGCAGAATTGGGGGCCTGGCAGTTATTCCTCACTTTTGTGGTTCCGCCCTTCAAGATGGAAACAGAACAAATGAAGCAAAAAATTTAAGTAATTTACCACTGAGTAATCCTCGCTACTGCTCAACTGACAGTCCTTGATAGGATTGTTTTTAACAGGATGAAGGGGGAAAACTAATATTCAGGTATCTCTCACCAGTCTATTCATTGTCTTTGGCAGCCTCACAAAAAGCCTAAGCACTACTAACCCCATTTTACAGATGTGGAAACTTGAGTTCAGGGGTGCTTATTCAAAGCACAGATGGAGAGGTTATGCAAGTCAGGGAGACATACGTTCCAGTTTGCCAAGTCAGTCCTAGTTTATACCCAGGGTCCTCTGGAAATTGGTATCTAGAGACCTCGCTCCTAGTATCTGCATGGAAGGGTAAACTGTGGTGGGATCCTCTCTCATCATGCTGAGTTGGGATTGTTGCACCATTTCATAGACCAGTTTCTTGATGGGGAATGGAATCCCACTCCAAAGCAGTCATGAGCTAATGAGTCAAACTGTTACTCCATAGGTGAAGGATATAAAAAATGTTATAATCCTTTGAATGTTAGAACACTTTTATGATGCTTAAAGTATATACTAATGAATCTATAATGCTACCTGAAGCAAAATCACAAGCCTTTTTGAAATATGGGTTATGTATAAAGTACTCAAGTAGCATGTTACTTGTTATCTGGTGATCACTAAGACTTAAGTCATATATGTGAGAAATGACATAAAGTTGTGCTCTCTGATGGCAATCTGATGATTAGTAAACCTTCCATGGTTTTTTGGGGAAGCACTGGAGATTTGCCCATTGCTCTGCTGTGGTCAGACTGGACATTGGTTTGTGCTTCAGACTCTGGGCCCTACTTTAATGAAGTGTCCATTTTTCAAACGTCAAGAAAATGAAAGTGCAGCTTTGTAGTTCTGTACTTTGTTTCTATAGAACATAGTAGCAACCCAGCTTAGCCATTGTCCCGCAGAAGCAGCCATAGACAATAAGTAAATGAATGAACATGGCTGTGACCCAAACTTTTTATTTGCAAAAGAAGGTGGCAGTCAGATTTGGCCCGTGGGCCATAGTTTGCCAACCCCTGTTATGTGTGGTGCTGGAATCCCTTATGGACTACATAGATTCAAGTTGTTTTCTCCTTTATTCTCTTACAGCAAGATTATCCAAAATAGTGTTTCTGACACTTTTGTGTTTCCCTGTCTTTCTCTTCTGTAGAGGAACTATCTGGAACTTATATTCTGTTCCAAGGATAGCTGAACCGGTATGGCTTACCATGATGTCCAGCACTTTGGAAAAAAACCAGCTCTGCCAGCGCTTCCTCAAGGAGTTTACACTTCTGATAGAACAGATCAATAAAAACCAGTAAGCTTCAACTCTCTGGAGACTTGTATGCAACTCCCATAGCCAATGTAGGTACTGCATAGGACATGCGTCTTTTTGCATTGACTAAGCGGTTGTTTCTTTTTCCATTTCTCCAAGGTTTTTTGCTGCCTTACTGACTGCGGTGTTAACCTACCACCTGGCCTGGGTCCCAACGGTCATGCCTGTGGATCACCCTCCCATTAAAGCCTTCTCAGAGAAACGTACCTCCCAGTCAGTGAACATGCTGGCCAAAACACATCCATATAATCCTCTCTGGGCACAGCTGGGTTAGTACCTAATTCGACTATTCAGATAATATTATATATGGGATGGAGTTGCAAAAAAATGCTAGTATTTGTGGTTTCTACTGGCTCTCTCACCCAGTAGTTCATAGGTTGTCATTGGGCAGACGGGGAATAGGAAGTTGGTCCATGGATTTGAACTGTAGGGCCACCCCCTTCCTCTCCTTTCCCTACTGGCAGCTCTGTGCTACATTATTAAAGCAGTGTAAGCCAACCGTGTTCTCCCATTCCACAGTGGCTGTTTACCCTAGAGCAGGATTTCTTAACCTCAGCTTTGATGACCAGATAATTCTTTGTTGGTTGAGTTGTTGTGGGGCGTGGGAAGAACTGTCTTGCGCATTAGCAGATGTTGAATGGCATCCTTGGCCTCCATTTACTAGGTGCCAGTAGAACTGCCCCTCCTTCCTCCCACCTGAAGTTGTAACAATCAAAAATATCCACAGAAAAGCACCTCATCCTGGAAAGCAGCATGTTTTAATACTAATGAAAGCTGACACTAGGAGCCAAGCACGGTTTTTACGCATATTCATTAGATTCTCATCCCTACCTTTATTACTCTCAGCCTCATTTTGTAACAATACAGATGTTGTCTTGTCATTGTGCTCTTAAGAGAATACAAGTCCCCTCATGGTTAGGGGTAAAAGATGTGTTCTAACTCAGTTAACTAAAAAATTTATGGATATTTAAATGGACTTAAGGGAGAGGGGATATGGAAAGAGGCTAGTTAAAAAATACAAAATTACAACTGGATAGGAGGAATAAGTTCTAGTGTTCTTTAGCACTGTAGGATTATGATGGTTAAGAATAGCTTATTTTCAGAGAAAGCTAGAAGAGAGATTCCCAGTGTTCCCAACACAAAGAAATGATCAAAGTTTGGGGTGGGGACCAGGCGCGGTGGTTCACACCTGTGGTCCCAACACTTTGGGAGGCCGAGGCAGGTGGATCACGAGGTCAGGAGATTGAGATCATCCTGGCTAACACAGCAAAACCCCGTCTCTACTAAAAATACAAAAAAATTGGCCAGGCGTGGTGGTGAGCACCTGTGGTTCCAGATGCTCAGGAGGCTGAGGCAGGAGAATTGCTTGAGCCTCAGAGGCAGAGGTTGCAGTGAGCCGAGATTGCGCCACTGCCCTCCCGCCTGGGCGACAGCGAGACTCTGTCTCAAAAAAAAAAAGTTTGGGGTGCTGGATATGCTAATTACCCTGATTTGATCGTTACTCAGAACATGCCTGGCTCAATCTTGGTCATACAGGGATTTTTTCCTGGGAAAGACAGAACACGGTTGTTTTTGTTTTATGGAACAATAATAATCTTAAAAAAAAAATGCAGGCTCATTAAGTGGAAAAGAAAAGGGGGCTGGATAGTAAGGAAACATTGTATTCCATGCTGCTGGATCACCCATTTCAAAACAATGCTAATTAAGTAGCATGCATTTAGTTAGATAAATGTGTTTATAATTAGGCCTGCTTCTCATTTGAAATGTAACTAATTGAGAGCCATTAATTCCCTGTGTTAGGCATAACAAGGGAGGGTCTTTTCCTGTGGGTTCACAATCCTCATCTTTCAGAGGAGATCATGTATTGTTGAAAGACTTTAGTCCTCCCTTCTCCCAAATAAATCCACCAGGGGTTTGGCTATTGACAGAAGGAGTGTGAGGAGGGGACAAGGCCCTGGGCAGCAAAGGCCTGTGATAGCTTTATAAAGCCAAGCATAAGTGATGGCCGAGTTTCCATTATTACAAAGAAGTTTTGGTGGGGAGGGAGGTTCAATAATTTGACAAGCAGAAGCAGTTGCTCCACATTTTATTGTTTTCATTCAGTATTTAGCAAGTCATAGTAAACATGAAAATTGAAACCGCTGGGAATACACAATGATACAGATATAATTTTAATCCAGGCTTCTAAGTAAAAGAGAAGACTATCTGGAATCATTTGCAAAGACTCCTCTGACAGCTTTTCCAGGACAGGTGCCACTGTGTCTTTTGACTCTCTTTTAAATTTTTATTTTTAATTCAGGTAAAAAGCATATAACAATGTTTATTATCTTAACCGTTTCAAAGTGTACAGTTCAGTCGGGTTAAGTACATTCATATTGTTGTGCAATTTCTTCATTTTAAAAAATTATACTCATGAAAACAAATCTACTCTAAAAATTAGCTTCAATTATCCAGGACTCAAAAAGAAATTGCCTTCAACTTCAAGATCCAGTAAATATTTAATATTATGGGTATATTGTTTTAATAATGCTTTATTTTATGAAGTTTGGCTATAACGTAATAGCACTGGTTCCACACACATTGCTCTCATTATTTTATATAGTTTAAATTATTATAAGTTGTATTTTTAATAACCTTCCTTGTTTTACCATTTCCATTTATTCCTTGGTTATTAAAATGTACAATACTCAAATGCATTGCTAAAAAATAATAATATCATTCTGAGTGGCCTTTCCCCTTTGGTTTGTTATACCAGATTTTGGATAAGTAATGTTTCTTCTTTATTAATATTGCAACTGATTTAACAAAAAATGTCTCATGAATTTCTGAAATGACTTGATATCCTACAGCAACAGACAGATGGAATCAAAGTAACAGTCATGAGCTCTTAGGAAGGTTTTCTCAAACAAAAGTCCTAGCTTCAGACTACAATTCTGAGTTACTCTAGTCTGATTTCTCAGTCATTTGGAAAGGCCTCTCAATTAAAGCTCTATCAGCCTATAATCTACTCATTTTGTAGAGAGGATTGTTTATTATTTCTGTCCTGCCCTTTGAATGTTCTTAGGAGCTGTACACAAGGGAATACTGGCAGAAGGAGGTATTTCCTAATGGGTCCCAGGGGGAGGTACTTTCCGATGGTTCTCATAACTTTTTTTTCCATAGTCATCTATTTTAATTAGTTTTATCTAGTATATGCCCATATAACTGCTTTCCTTCCTCTCTAGATGCATTCCTCAGAGGGTTTTGAACTTCCTAAATTCTGATTTATACCAATTATCATGTATCACTTCTCCTTTATTTAGTATCTTTTTAGGTTTTGATTTGTTCCAACATTCTGGTTTTTCTTTTTTTTTGAGATGGAGTCTTGCTCTGTCGCCCAGGCTGGAGTGCGGTAGCGTGATCTCAGCTCACTGCAACCTCCATCTCCCAAGTTCAAGCTATTCTCCTGCCTCAGCCTCCTGAGTAACTGGGATTACAGGTGTCCACAACCAAGCCCAGCTAAATTTTTGTATTTTTGGCAGAGATGGGGTTTCACCATGTTAGCCAGGCTGGTCTCAAACTGCTGACCTCAGGTGTTCTACCCACCTCGGACTTCCAAAGTGTTGGGATTACAGGCGTGAGCCACCACGCCCTGCCGAGATACATCTTTAGGATCTTAACACAGTGCCTGTCCAGTTAGTAGACATAGGTTCTTTATTATAATTTTCCATATTATCAAATGTGTAACTTATAAATAAATTACCAAATGCAGTAGTTTTAATAGTTAGGCACTTAAGTACTTTTGATGAAAGGCTTATTGCTGGATAGTTGGATGATTCATTTCCCTTATTCTTTCCTCCTTAAGCTGATTGTAGAGCCCATGGTACATTAGTCAGTTTTTAATCAACTTGTCAGGATATAATTAATGGGACATTTTTTTTCCAGTCGAATTTTCTTTTCTTTTTTTTTTCTGAGACAGAGTCTTGCGCCGTCACCTGGGCTGGAGTGCAGTGGCACAATCTCGCTCAGCTCACTGCAATCTCTGGATCCCAGGTTCAAGCAATTCTCCTGCCTCGGCCTCTCAAGTAGCTGGGACTACAGGTACACACTACCATGCCTGGCTAATTTTTGTATTTGGGAAGAGACAGGGTTTCGCCATGTTGGCCAGGCTGGTCTTGAACTCCTGACCTCAAGTGATCGCCTGCCTCAGCCTCCCAAAGTGCTGGGATTACAGGTATAATCCACGGCACCTAGCCCAGTTGAATTTTCAAGTGAAGTAAAATAAAACCTTCAGACTCATTATTCATGACTAAGTGATTTTCTTCTTCTTAATCAAATTGATTCTACTTGGTGTGGGTATGCATATTAAAAGAATTTTATGTAGACCACCTCATTAAGTATTTTGAATTAATTCACTGCCCTTCTGTTGAGAGATTTCCTGAATTTCGATTTTATCCCAAGGCCCAGTGTCCTGGAATTCTTCCAACAAATTCTTACTATTCTAGTTTCCAAGATACATAGTATTAGATCTTGTCACATATTCAGAGCTCTGGCTTTAGCTTTCCTTGGGCCATCTCTTTGGTGGACCCGTTGAGCTGCGGGGAAGACCCAGCAGGCACCGGGAGGGGCTGTGTGCACAGCAGCACGACTCCCACACACCAGGGGTGACCAGCCGCAGCCTGTGTCCAGGCTGACACTCTTACAATGGCCAAACTAAAATGTCGTCATTACTAGAAAGTAGAAATCAGGAGTCGGAAGCAGTAATTCCAGATTGGGAATAAGTCACCTGCTTTGCTCTTGTAAAGGCTGATATATCTGTGACATGCTAACCCCAGAGACCACTGCCTTTGTGTCCACCTTTGCTGTCTAGGTGATCTTTACGGAGCCATAGGCTCTCCAGTGAGACTGACTCGCACCGTGGTGGTAGGGAAGCAGAAGGACTTGGTCCAACGAATACTTTATGTCCTGACCTACTTTCTCCGTTGCTCTGAGCTACAAGAAAACCAGCTGACCTGGAGTGGCAATCACGGTGAAGGTGACCAAGTTTTAAACGGGAGCAAGATCATGACAGCCTTGGAGAAAGGAGAGGTGGAGGAGTCTGAGTATGTGGTCGTTACGGTGAGGAACGAGCCTGCTCTTGTACCCCCCATCCTACCACCAACAGCAGCAGAAAGACAGAAGCCCTGGCCGGCAGAGTTTCCTGAGAGCCCAGAGGGCACTGACAGTAGAGACCCGAGTCTTAAACCTGACAAAGAAGCTCACAGGAGGCCGGAGCAGGGTTCTGAGGCTTGTAGCACAGGGTACCAGGAGCCAGCATTGGATGGCTCCTGGAAACCTCAGAATGGCTTTTGTGGGGATGAAAAAAATAAAGAGGCACCACAAGATGGCTCTTCAAGACTTTCCAGCTGTGCAGCTCTGGGGGCAGGAATGAAGCTGAACCAGCAAGCTGTCTGTGAGCTATGTAAAGTGGAGATGCCTACAAGACTGCCAGACCGGTCAGTGGCCTGGCCTTGCCCTGACAGACATCTCCGGGAGAAACCTCCCTTAGAAAAGGTCACTTTCCAGATCGGGAGCTCCGCATCTCCAGAGTCTGACTTGGAAAGCCGCATGAAAAAAATGGAGGAACGGATGAAGGCCTGTGACCCCTCGCTAGAGGCCAGGGCAGCCACTGATGTGGCTCAGGACCCGCAGGTTTCTGGGAGCCCTTTCAACCCTGGCTTTCAAGAGAGCATCTGCTGCCCTCAGAATCAGCCTTTGGAGGGGGATGAAGGCGAGTCTGACAAAGGTTTTGCAGAGGACAGGGGCCGCAGAAACGAAGCGGCGGCTCATGCTGCAGGGCAGCTCAGCCATGCTGCCAACTCGGACGCAGCCCCTGCCACTGCGGCAGGAACCGGAGGGAGGAGGCTGGAGGCAGCTAGAGGTTTGTATGTGAAGGCTGCGGAAGGACCTGTGCTGGAGCCTGTTGCCCCCAGGTGTGTCCAGCGGGGCCCTGGCCTGGCGGCTGCTGCAAATATCCCCTGTGGGGATGCCAACAAGAAGGCCAACTTCAGGACTGAAGGAGACATTCCCCGAAATGAAAGCTCGGATAGCGCCCTGGGAGACAGTGACGACGAAGCCTGCACTTCCGCCACGCTGGACCTGGGTCCCGGTGCTGACAGGACTGGGGGGTCCTCGGAAGTGGAGCTGCCTCTGCCAAGGTAACTCCGGCAGGCTGGGAAGAAGAGGGCACTGAGTTCGAATTCCCCTCTCCTGACCTGACATCTGTGATCGCGTTAGCTACTGTTGTCTGCTTCCCACACTGTTTTTTTTTTCCACAGAACATTAGCAGTACTATCAATTCCATTACAAATGGCTTCTCGCCAGTCCTTCCAAGGATGGCCACTGGCTTAGCACCACTGAGTTCACAGGGGCAGGCGGCCGGTGGTTGTCTTCGAAGCCATTGTGACCCACTAGGGGAAGCTAAGGGATGTGGTGGAGGTGGGGGAGGGAACAGGGAGTTTAATTGTCTGTCAACTGCAGGGAAGGTCCGTGGCTGGCAGCAGATGCCTTGCTTGGGAGGTGGTGGATTACACTCACCGTGTGGCCTCTCTCCTGCTGACCAGAGCAGTGTGAGGTGGTTGGGAAACTGCACCTCTTCCTTATAACACTCCGTCAGGTTGATTATCTGGTCTGTGATGACTGAAAGCAGTAATTAGAGATTTCTTCTGATCTTCGGTACTGTCGTTGGCACCACTCTGTGCAGATATGTCAGATTCCTCAAGCCAGGCTTTTGGCAAGAGCCCTTCCTCAGACTTTTTCTTTCCTCAGTATTTTGACACAGACTGCCTGGTGGATGTCCAATATGAGGAACAAAAATAAACTCATAACTAGCCATGGATATACTTTCCTTGCCACCCCCCCACCTTCCACTTTAAAATACTCCCTTTTCTCCCCCAGTCCCTTCCTTTTTCTCACACCTGTGATCCACTTAACTTGAGGCTTGGTGACATGTACCACCCTGAATCTTTTGTTTACCTGTGTCATTGGGGTGCTTGTACCAATTATAATGAATGAAGAAAGTACATTTGCAGCTGTGCATTTTAATGGGCCAAATGTTGTTTTAGGTCTCAGAGCGTCAGCACTCAGAATGTAAGGAACTTTGGCCGCTCCCTTCTGGCGGGCTACTGCCCCACATACATGCCCGATCTTGTGCTTCACGGGACCAGCAGTGACGAGAAGCTGAAACAGTGCCTGGTGGCCGACCTCGTCCACACAGTCCACGTAAGTGATCCCACGTAAGTGATCTGGCTGCCGACAGTCTGCCAGCCAAGGTCTTGGCCGACAACGGGTGTTTAGACTGAAGAAGGACTAGTTAAGGATTGTTGATGGAGATGTGGGCAAGGTTATGGGAACCAACTAGGGCTAATGAAGCACCTGGGGCCTAGCAGCAGCTGGAAGCTAGAAGCACACCTGGGCCTGGGAGCGTAAGGGGAGGGAGCACGACATCAGAGCCCTGAAGCCTGAGCGAGGATGAGGGGCGAGGGGCGGCCTGACTGCAGGAGCAGTGAGGAGGGGGTGACTTCCTGCCATCCCTTCTCCCGTTCTCTGATCTCTTTCTGGTGCCTCTCATTGGCTAAGCCCAGCTGAAAGCCAGAGATCAGGGGCACCCCTGTTGCAGACACAGCCCTGTGGTGCTTAGAGGTCAGCCTCCTGGGGCCCAGAACAGGACAGAGAAGGGCAAAGAGTTGCTCTGGTGGTGTTTAGGGGAGCAGATAGGCTGGACAAATGGAATAAACAGCACAGATGGTGATAATTATATGCCATCACGGTGAGGACCGAAGAGGTGTCACATATGGTTTGTTTTTATTCAATCCTTAAACAAGTTCCTAAAAGTAATTTATTTTAACTGATTTGTCATTAAGTTCACTTTGATGGCTGCATGAGGATGACTGTATAAAGATTGACAAGTCTTACTGGAAAATTGTCTTATGGCTGCCATTAAGTGCTTTCCTGCTGTCTGCAGTGCAACAGGAACTAAGCAGTTAAGGAAACTGTCAATCTGATAGGCCTGTTTTTAATTGAGCTGTTATTGGGCAGATGTGCAAAAATAGACCTTTTGTATTGGAAACATTTTGTATCTTGTGCTATAGGGAAAGTCCTCATCACGTTAAGAAAATTGGAATTTGGGCTGTTACGAACCTCTGGACCAACAAGTATTTTTTCTGAGGTGAAACGGAAGGCATTGCGTGTTATCTTTGGCCTTGAGCATCTATCTCCTCTGTGAAGACTAAACATCAGACACAGGCTATACAGGCTAAGGATATTTATGTGAAATGGGAAAAAATGTCAGTAGTAAAGCAGATGTCCTCATAACGTCCCTCAATGAGGAGGGCGAAGAAATGAGGCTAGGGCTGTCCGAAGCTGGGGAAAGCCGGCCCAGTGTACACGTGTGTGGCCAGATGTTCCTAACCCCACCCCTGCTTTGTGGTCACACACCACCCGTCACCCGGATATTCCTCGAATGAAGCTATGAAATTGCTTTTGTCTCTATGATATCATAATTATGTAATATCATAATTTCTCTTCATAGTTGTAAGCACCGTATACTCGTTTATCATTTCATGGGTTCACGCGTCAGTGAACCCTGTAAGAACAATGCCTTCATTGTGTAATGCTGTCTCAGTTGTCCAAAACAATGTCTGATGCCTTGGCAATTTCACAGACTGTATTTATATGTGTTTAGCAACTTCCTATAACATTAAGGCACCTTTTCTGTCTGCACCTGATGTTTATATTCACACATGCCAAACCGTGGGTGTTTTTTTCCTGCTCTGCTATCATTTTGATTCCTAAGAACATTAGTATTGCTTATTGGACCTTTCTTCCATGAAGCCCAGTGATCTGCTTCTGACAGAGGTACCAAGAGACTACATGGGAAATAACAGGATTGTCCTCAATGACATATGCCCTGATTTACTCACTGACCACTCTGGAAATGCAATCTATTGATTGATAACCCTCCTTGAACTTATCTGTAAAACCATTTATGAAATATTTTATGTTTTCCATAGGCTGGCAAGTTCTAATTTTTGTGTATTAGATTTTCATCGTGACCATCTGGCTCTATAATTCTTATATTTGAAAAAACACAACCATGTTTACTCTGTCATTACTCTTCAAGCTTTTTAATATTACATTTTCCCTTTTAGAAGGGGTGTCTTCACACTGTAGCTTTTCTCATTTCTTTAAACTATGGATTCACCCTGAGCGATTGAAAGTTATTAAGCATAATAACCTATATTGTGTCAAATTGTGGGTACATCCAAAGTGCAGCCATGCATGGGTGTTGATAGGAAATTGCAAAGGGTTCATGAAAATATCTTCAGAAGTTTAATATGTTCAGAATATATCCAATTAGTGTTAGTGGATTTCTAATTTCACTTGACACATTCATCATAATGAATTTTGCTCTTGAAGTAGTGTTTTGTTTAAACTGCTTCTCAGACAGGCACTCTGGTCTATGGCAGTGTTTTTTAAAACACACACACAAAACAGGCTTACTTTTGACGTCCATTTACAAACATTTGTTGAAAAATATTTTAGGAACTTTTTTTTAAACACTATACTGATTTTACTGCTCCATAAAACCTAGTGAATATTTAAATTCTTGATTTTGCCAGAGAAAGAAGCAGAGATCCAAAAACAAGTATATGACCAGAGCTAGAGCTGAAATAATAGCTTGTTGAAGAAAATTGTAATAAATTGCTTTATTATAACTTGCTTCCAAAACCTATTTTTTGAGTTGGCCACAGTGGCTTATGCCTGTATTCCCAGCACTTTGAGAGGCCAAGTTGGGTAGATCGCCTGAGCTCAGGAGTTCAAGACCAGCTTGGGCAACATAGCAAGACTTCATCTCAAAAATAAAAGCATTTAAAAAATCAGAAAAAAAACAAACCTATTTTTTGAATATTAATTTCAGTGTTCATGCTAGACTTCAGCAGGTTTTGGGACTTACAATTCTTTTTAGAGAAGGATTTTTAATTCTTTAAAAGCAGTTGATTCAGGTTATTGATCTATTTTCTAGACATGTGCACAATTTGGATTTTATAAGCTGTGTTATGTAAATTAAATGTGCACTTTTTTTTTTTTTAAGAGATTGGGGTCTCCCTGTATTGCCCAGGCTGGACTTGAACTGGGCCCAAGTGATCCTGCCTCATTCTCCGAAATGGCCAGTATTATAGGCACAGGCCACTGTACCTGGCTCTAAATGTACATTTTTATAACTACCAGTTTGGAGTTTTTCTCTCATTGAGAGATTGCTTTGTAGAGCTTCCAATATTAAGAATTTTTTTTGAACTTTTCTTATCCTAGCCTCTTATGAAAGAAAGATATAGTAACTTTATTTCATCTGTTTTCATTTTTATTGCTGACTTTCACATGTCAAGATTCAGAAGTTCTTTAAATATTTAAACATGTATCCTTATTTAGTCCATATACTACCTCTTTTCTGTCATTTGAACTCTCTCTGCCTCCTAACATATAGGTTATACAGCTGCCTTAAATTAGTGTAAAGTAATACGGTTTCATTTTTTTTCTTGCCGCATCTTATGCATTCTTTCCTCTGTTTTCCTTTTGACTTTAAAAGAGAGCAGGGGTGTGCGCCAGCAGCATTCTATGCCTGTGGCTCTTGAGTAGCCTTTTCCCTCTCCTTTTTCCTCCTGTGTCTGGCCTGTGACTACCGCTGACAGGGGTGCTGTAGGGGTTATTATGTTGCAACGTAAGGTGATGGAAGATCACTGACTTAGTGTTGATGGTTTAGGTTTGAGTCCTTGTATTGCTACTCCTTTGCTGATAATCTCAGGTGAATCAACTGGCATTGCTAAGCCCCAGAAAAATGTATTTGGAGGAACAGATGAAATATGATTCAGTGGATAGGAAATTAACTTCTGAAGACAGACCAACCTAAGTTTGAATTATGGTTCACCCCTTAGTGGCTCTGTGGCATTGGTCAAGTGTCTTTAATTTTCTAATCCATACTGTGAACAGTACTTATATCATAGATTTGGTTTGAAGATTCTGTGAGATAATGCATATCAAGTGGTTAGCACATTGCCTGACACACTGCTAAATGCCTAGTGAATGTTAGTTATTAATATATGTGGGCCAGATGTGGTGGTTCACCCCTGTAATGCCAGAGCTTTGGGAGGCCAAGGTGGGAGGATCCTTTGAGATCAGCCTGGGCAGTATTGCAAAACTCTATCTTGAGATCCAAGATGGCCGAATAGGAACAGCTTTGACGTGCGGTTCCCAGCGAGAATGCAGAAAGTGAGTGACAACTGCATTTCCAAATGAGTTTTTACTGCCCACAGACCAGGAGATTCCCAGGTGGAAAAGTGCCACAAGTCTCCAGCATAGCTGTTTCAGCCTGCACACAGGTATCCACACAAAAACTCACACAAATCAGGGTGGCCATTTCAACTGGCGCCCGGAATGCCTGGGAGACAGAATCGCCTGTTCAACTGAAAAAAATGGGGGCTAAAAGAGGGAGCCAGGTGATCTGGCTCAGCTGATCCCACCCCAACAAAGACCAGCAGTCTGAAACACTCTGGATTGAGAGTTTCACAGCAAGGACAGCTGGACCTGGGATGGTCCAGCTCTGTAGGGGGAGGGTATCTGCCATTACCGAGGCAGTCCATCACTACCAAGAAGTCCGCCACTACCAAGGCAGTCCGCCATTACCGAGGCAATCTGCCACTACTGAGGCAGTTAGCCATGACAGAGACAGCCTGCATTATTGAGGCAGACCACCATTACTGAGACAGTTCTAACTATACCTCTATAAAGAAAACTGCAAGGAAGTTCACACAGCAGCTGGGCAGAGCCCACAGCAGCTCAGCAATGCCTCTGCTGGCGCACTGTGACTAGGCTACCTCCCCACTGGGGGGGCATATCTGAATAAAAGCAGCATGTCAGCAATTTATAAATAAAGCCCCACCTTCCCAGGACAGAGCACCTGGGAAAAAAAGTTGGTTATGAGTTCTGCTGCAGCAGACTTAAATGTACCTGCCCAGCAGCTCTGAATGGAACAATGGAGCTCACAGCTCAGCACTTGAGCCCCTATAAGGGACAGACTGTCTCCTCAGGCAACTCCCCAAACCCCGTATATCCGAAGAGACACCTGATCTGACATCTGTCATGTATCCTTTTGGGACAAAGATAACAGAAAAAGAAATTGGCAGCAACCCTTACTGTTCTGCAGGCACTGCAGGTGATCCCCAGGC